TGCAGGGTTACCAGCTTAGGGACACTCACAATACAAAGGCCCCCTTTACCCTCTGGCCTTAATACCCTGCCCCCTTGATTCTAACATCTCAGACCTTCTCTTAAATGTCCTCATTCCACTGAGAAGTTGGGTGCAACAGGACCAGCACTGTGTGCTCCAGAAAGTCTCTGGGCGATGCACTTGTGGGGCTCAAGTCCTCACTTGTATGGAAGCCACAGCATTGCAATCTGCAGCATTCATGAATATGAGATGTGCGATGTGCGAGGTGTGTCCCCTCCCTCAGAGCTAACAGAGCACAAGGAGACTGGGTACAGCAGTCCCTTCCAGGAACTGCACAGAGGAGAAGGCGCCCACAGCATGCAAAGTTCTATGGAGGCTGTCTGGGCTGACTGGACTTGGGCGCTGGTGGTGGCGCCAGGGAACAACTGCTCTCTGAAATTACACACCTCTGCAGCTTTCCTGCTAGGGTAGCCCATCAACTCCAGAAGGGAGTTCAAGAATAATATGTAAAGAAGTGTTATCCTTGAATGGTATACCCTGTCACTGGAACATAAACTGTGCCTGAACATTTTCTCCATGAAAGTCCAAGGAACATTTATTTCCCAGTTCAATGACCCCAAGAAACGATTTTGAATTACTTCCACTTGTGAAATAGAAGACAAGCATTCTCCTCCCCCTCCCTGACCCTCCTTCCCAGTCTCTATAAATGGATACCAAATAAGCACAGGAGCTAGAAGAAGACTCAAGTGAAGACTCTGCAGATTATCCATATCCCCAAATCTGTGATGTTATAATCTGGATTGTATTCTTGCTGGCAGGGATTCAAAGAATTGTTTCACACTGAGTATGATTCATTATGCAGTAAAATAATTTAAAAGAATTAATTTCCATGGCACATGCTCTTAATTTTGAGTTTGTCACTAAATGGACATTTAACTTCAGCTCTTCCAACTAAATGGGAAATAAAGCAAATGACTCTCCCAAGGGCTAGCAAATTCGGTGAGGTATATAGAGATGAGGTATAACGAGGAAACTCTATCTAGAACACAGAAATGAAGACATGTTAATCAAAGAGAAAACAGAAGGGGAGTAAAGACTAAAGGATGAAAAGGCTAGAAGTTGCCTGTTGTTTGTTCTACATGAGAGTTGAGTTGCTCCCTTCAGCAGCAGATCTAGAATGAAGACTGCATACAGACCACACAGGAACAAAATGATAGTTGCAGAGGGCACTCGGCTATGGCGGGAATGGCACCAGGTGTTAACAGCACATTTAGGAAAGTCTGATGTGTTTGAGGTATGGCGGGGGAAGACCCAGTCTGAAACCCTATCAGGAAAAGTATCATGTGCTTTTAGCTCCAGGCAAAGCAAACATGGCTGCACTTCAGCATGGCTCCATTTCAGCATGGCTCCTTCCACTTAGATCCCTACCATGTATGCGGGTGCAGAGGTTAAGATGTCTTGGAAGAGGCTATATAGTCACAGGTTACCGCAGCTGACTGAAAGGAATGTATAGGAAGCAAGATGCTAAGTAGTAAGTCTTGTGTGACTCCTGCTGATATTCACAGAAATGTCTGAGGGGAGCGAAGAAAAAGCTCTGTGATTTCCTAATGAGCCTCTGCAGTTATATTTTCACAGCAACCAAGAATTTTGTCTGACTTTGACAGAGTTTTCCCAATGTTTCACATAGTATTCATGGAAGATTGTTATATTCATTCCCCCCTCCTTCAAGATCTCAGAGAGTTGCTAGCACCTTGAATTTAGTATATCTTTAATGAATAATTACTGACTGAGTGAATCAACCACGTTCCCAAATGAGGAATGTGTCTTACATTAATTAAAATAGGAGTCAATAATGTGCAAGATATAGCCTATATTTTCTTTATTACTGCCATTTGGAAAATTGAGGACGTGCTCCAGCAATTCAAATCTCCCTCTGAGGAAAATTCAGTAACTATCAAGATAGATCTTGGCAGCTCTTTCCTGGGATCCCTAAGGATCACTAAGAAATTTTAAGAGGACACTGGACATTTTCCTCATGGCTTATGAGTAACACACTTCCATCTGTGGGGAAAGAAAAATGGGCCTTCCTATTGCTATCAGTGTTTTCTGTACTGAGATCCAGAGCTGGTGCTGACTCGTGAAGGACAGCTAGCATACAACCTGGCTTCTTTCTTTCTATGTGGTTCAAATTCCCTTTCTATTTTAGAGGAAATGCGAAACATTTAACCACCTTAAGTGCTACGGAAGAACTAAACCATAATGGAAGGGGAGGCTGCACCTCGGGTCGGGGGAGGGACCGAAAGCCAGGGAAGGGAAGAGGAGAGGGTATGACAGGGGATCTCGGAGCAGTAGCTGGTGGTTCAGCTGATGGACCAGTATTTGACCTCAGGAATGTTTGGCAAGTCAATTCACTCATTTGATGATGACAACAGGTTTAGGATTACAGGCCGCTGACTTTAAATAGAAAACACAGTATTCTGTTAACCCAGTGGTGAGGCTGTAGGGGATCTAGAGTGCCCAGTCTCTTTTAAGTTCTGGGATCTGTACTAACATTTTCACTTGTTCCCTCAAAGGTACAAGTGCTTTGAACTTCGCCAACAAACCATCAAATCATCCATTTTGGTTGCTCTGGAGCTGAGAGGTAAAACTGTGTATGCAAAGTCATGTTTTCAGAATGGGTCTTAAAAACATTTTTATACATCCCTTTGTTGTTTTTATTCCCCATTATATTCTTGTTCTACCAGAGACAAGTTACTAATCACAGGTAATGAATAGCAGCTCCCTTTGGAACAGCACCTTTATATACATATGCTGATATGTCCCTTATCTTTAATGATCTCAATGACCTGCATGAACACTGTATTGTCACTCCAATTTTATGGACTGCAATGAGGTCACTCTATATGTGTTGGCCATAAGGTCAGACCACTTCTCAATTCTTTACAGTTTAGAATGTATTTTCATATGCATTATATATATGGTCCAACCTGTGACTCAAAGGCCATAGTAACCCACATTTTACAGCTGACAACATAAAAATTGGGACAGATTTTGTATGTACATCACACAGTTCATGAGATTCAAATTTTCATGCTCCTATTCTTCAGCCCAGGCTCATTTATCAGTATAGTGGAAAGAAGTAAAAGTTCTCAAACATTACACCTCTCAAATTTTCTTTTCCACCTTCAGGCTTCTTTCAAAAAACCCACCTCTGTTCCTATCAGGGAGAATCTAATTCTCTTCTGTGTTACTGGAAGTCTTCTCAATTGCTTACCTCCCTCACTCCCAGAAGTCTTATCTACTCTCATTTCCACTCTATACAGTTGGATCTCAAATCTTTCTCTGATGTCAAATTATTGTTTCTAGTCACTTTAAGAGATTACTTTTTTTGGGAAAGCATACACACACAGACACACTATACATTATCCTCCATTTCAGTTTTCTAGAACTAACTTGTAGAAAAACTATTTTTTCTTAGACCAACCATGTACTACTCTAGTTTCATACACTTACTCATCTTACTTTGAAATGATATCTTTCTCTCTACATGTAGAAATTCGATTCATTCTTTAAGAATGAGCTCAAATGTTAGGCTATAAATATCTTCTCATCTTTTAAAGTGAGATTTAATGGTTTAATCTCTGTGTTTCCATAGCACTTTGCTTATAAGGATAATGTATCCAATACCACATGAGAAAGTTATTTGTCTCCACCTCTACTCAATTTCTCACAATGAACATAAGAACTTTATTTATCTTTACACACTTTGAAGCAACAAACATGTTGAGTAAATGAAGAAAGGAAGGCAGGCAGGCAGGAAGGAAAGGGAGGGAGGGAGGGAGGAAGAAAGGAAGGAGGGAAGGAATGATGATTCAGTGACTATCATAATTTTTCAACATTTCCCAAGTAAGCATGAGTTGACTTCATTGTTCCTTTTTCTCAACTTAAATCTTTACTATTATCCTGGGAATCTGTCTTCATGCTCTGTGAAAATACTGAGTTTAAGTTAAGTAAAATTACCTGCTGTATGAAATCATGGACAAGGAAAGAAACAATACATCATTTTTCTTAAATGTAAATGTAAGCATACTACTATAATGCAGGCTCATAAGCCAAGTTATAGATACATATGCATATGTATAGATACATATGAATTAACATTCATATTTGTAAATTAATTAAAAAAATTAGAAGTAGGAATTGATCCACTTCTATTAATAAACACTTATGTTTACAGCAACAGTAAATTTCATTAGACTGGAAAAATGAGTTTGGGAGGTAGAGAGGAAAGAGGAAAAAGTGAGTCTGAATTACAGAAGTCAGAATTTATTGAAAACAATGCAGTTTTATTATTTTCAATACTAAGATCTGCCAATAAAATCTAAGGAGACATATACTTAATAACACTAATCCTTATTTTATAGCTGAATCTTTTTGCCTAAAGACCACTGTATATTGTAAAGGCATGAAAACAGTTCTCCTTTTAAAATGAGTTATGGGTGTCCCCTCAATTTTTCTTATTAAATTTCTTGCAGACAATTTAAAACATGTATACAAATTTCATCTTCATTTGGCTCAAAAAGTGTGTGTTAGCAATATCTTAATTAGTAAGGTTTTCCTCTGTTCATAAAGGCAAATATTTCTGAAAGGTAAAAATACAGTCCAACATTGTGGGGAAATGTTAAATATTTTAAAACAGGAAAAATGTAAACATTTTAAAACAAACATTCAATTTTCATTAATCCATATATAACTGAAATATATCTTTAGTCTTTAATTTCCTTTGTAAATTTCTTGAAGGCAAAGAATTTGCTTGCTTCCTCCCCCACACCCCTCGACTCTTTATGCCCAAACAATTACAGAGGCTGTGATTTTTGGTGATGCCTATCATTGTAAGAACAGGAGTTTAAAGTGATACTGTCATATTTTCAGATATTCTAACTGGTACATTGCTTAACCAAAACCACCCAAGACTTGAATGTTATGTATTATTTACTCACTGATTCTGGGTACCGGCTGCAAGTAGTTGACTGATCCCCATCCTGGAAAAGAAGACAAGGGAAATTCATATATATTAACACGTTTAAAACACTTTCTAGGCCCTCCCTGGTGGTGCAGCGGGTTAAAGCACAGCACTAAGAAGCTTAAGCCACTTCTGCATGAGTTCGATCCCCTCCTGTCCCAGAGGAAATCCACATGGTGCGGCAGACCTCTCCTGACCAGCCCTCTGCTCCCCTCAGCAGTGTACTTCGACGACCTGCCTGTTCTGCTCCCCACTCAGTCTCTGGTGAATCCTCTCACCCACCGAATCTCTAGCCTGTACCCCAGTTCTCTATGAGTGAATAAATAAATCTTTAAAAAACAAAACAAAAACACTTTCTAAGTAGAGATATCTTGAAATCGCTGATATTTTATTTCTAGCAAAGAAATCATGGGGTAGGACAAGGTTATGATAGAGAATTTGGCATCCCCTCTGTTTCTGAACTAATAAGGAGATCATGAGCTTGGCATCCATATTAGGAAACCTGATGTCACCTTCACATGTTGGGTTTGGTGCAGAAGTTTCTGTATCAGAAACTAGAAGGACAGGAGGTGATGTAAAATGTCCACCTCAAGGAGAAATTTCCCTGAATTTATATCTATTCCATAAGATGTGAGTGTGCTAACACCCAGTTATAGTTTCTGCTGGAATTTTTATGTACAATTACATTTTCTACTTAGAATCTTAGTGTAAATCTGTGCTTGTATATGATTATATTTCTTTTTGAAATCTTTGAGTACTTGGGATACATCTCACTGGGTAAAACTGATATTTGGGATAAACATTATACATCTCTTGGCACAGAGTATCCAGTGTTCACTGTTGGGTACCTTGGTTTGTGAAACAGAGAGAGTCAATGAACTGAAAGCTAGGATGAAATTTGAGGAAAACATTCCCATGGTCATTTAAATCATCCAGAACTAATGATGGTTTATTCTGTAGTGAACAGCTCTACAAAAGAAATCTTTGGGCTTTTCTTTCATGAATGCATTCTTTGCCCATGAAGGACCTCTTTCTGCCAGATAAAGTTGTTAAATGTAACACAGTATATTTCTTCTTGTTTAGCCATCCATGGGGGGAGGAGAGCCTTACCTCATTCTAAGAAAAATTTTAGACAAAATGGTAATTATATAAACATTTAGTCATTTGTTTCCTAATTACAGTTCCAATTACCCCATAAAAACATATTATAGGGCCCTCCCTGGTGGCACAGCGGGTTAAAGCACAGCACTGAGAATCTAAAGCCGCTTCCGCATGAGTTCGATTCCCGCCTGCCCCGGAGGTGACCACATGGCATGGCAGACCTCTCCTGACCCGCCCGCTGCTCCCCTCAGCAATGTACTTCGTCGATCTGCCTGTTCTGCTCCCCACTCTGTCTCTGGTGAAGCCTCTCGCCGCCCTTGAGCCTCTGGCCTGTACCCCAGTTCTGTATGCACAAATAAATAAATCTTAAAAAAAAACCATATTATAAATATATAATGCGTAATATGTATTATATTGTGTACTATGTACCATACTTAAATTATACATTATACATTAATACATTAATTTTAGACTAGTAATATTACACATGTTATATTTTCTGTGTGCTGACTTTTTTTTTAAATATCCATTTTAAAGTTTATTGATTAAAAAACAAGTACTTAAAAAATAGTGAGGTTTAAGCAATGGTAGTTAATTTCCTGACCTGAGGTTCTGCTCCATTTAAAGAACATGCTGTCAGTATGACTTTATAATTAATATTGCTTTTCTAACTCAGAGAAAAAGATTCTATTGGCTTTGTCCTTTAAATCAGTCTTTCACCAAATTTAATTTGTGCTACAATATAACAGTTTATACTTAAGTTAGTTAAATGCTATTCTCTTTTTTTTAGAGTATATCCATGGACATTTGCATTGCATTACAATGAGGTTTTTGTTATAAGGTATCAGCAGCCCTGCTTGATTTAGTAATTTCTGCATTTTAGATGAAGGTCTTTATCAGCCATTTGTATAGCTCATCAATAAGTTATTGGTCCTACAGTATAACTGATCCTCAGGGGGTGGAATTTGATATATAAGCCACTACTTCAACCCACTTTGATGTAATTGCAACTCTATACTTACTTGTTCACCCATGTAAAAGTACCATGATTAAGGTCATACTTTCATAGCTTGGTGATAAGAATACTGCTTAGGCTAGCACCCAAAATCTTCCTACAGACAAAACTGATTTTATCTAGAATATTCTCACTGTTTATGCAATTTGTTGTGCAAGCAGGGAAGGAAATTAAATTGATGTGGAAAATGTGACTATTCAAAAAGTCAAATGTGGCTGCCTCTTTATCACTTATGATATTCTGGGAAGTTACTTATTGATCGCATGAAAAATTTTTCTCATCAGGTATTGCTTTTAAGCTCTCTGGTTTGTAATGATCAAGTCATTTCCTTAAAATTGTGGATATGGCAAGCTCTTACCCCCATCTCCACAATGGCTGTGCAAAAGGTCAATTGCCATTTTCTTTTTTATTTATTGTGCTAAAAACCCTATGAGGCTTACCTCTAAATAAAGTTTTATGTGTACAGTATAATATTGTTTAGTGTAAGCACAAATGGTACAACAGCTCCCTACAACATTTTTATTGTGATTAAGATGGTGGCGGGAGGTTCCTTACTTCAATACCAAGAGGACCATCGACCCATCTGACAATTAACCGCAGGGACACTATACTGGAAAGCTCATGGCTTGGGATGAAACTGGAACACCTCTTGGACATCAGAGATCAACACAGACTGTGAGAGAGGAGACAGACTAGAGTTGCGTTTAATTGAACAGGACATTGCAAAGAGAAGTGCCTGGAGCTTGCAGTCAGGGCCTGGAGATACCAATAGCAGGGCTGCCAGTTCAGTCAGGGCTTCTGGGGAGAGAAGAGCTAAATGTCGTGGAGATATAGACCCTTGATTAGGAGAAATGTGTAGGGTTTGAGATGTAGTCCCCTGGTGGAAACAGTAAGAAGAACAAGGACAATGTGCTAGACTTAACTCCCTCCCTGCCACCTCTCATCATTTGGTCCTGTACTTAGTGTAGTTCACTCACAGCACACAGACTACAAAATCTCAGATCTACTATTCCACTGATTCTGGGGGCCTTCAACACAATACATCCTCTACCACACACCCACACATTCATACCTCTCAAGCCCCCTCCCTTGTGCTCTGCAAAAAACAGGTCTTAGCACTTATTGGAAGCCAGCAATGGCCCCCAAAATTAATTCAAATCAAATTAGTAAAATTAGTGTTACTCTTTAAATTGTAGCTGTAGGTAATTTTAAAATTAGGGAGCATATTATATAATTTACATATTACATGCTTATATCCAAGGCAACAGAAATATAACACATGGCAATTTGAAACCTCAAGGGACTATGATACCATATGGAGAGAACAACTCTCCAGAATCCGACCACATGGCAGATTTTATATCCCTATGAGATAGAGATTCAAAATTGCTATAATTAAGAAACTCAGAGACAAAAGAAAGCACAAACAGGGAAGACAAAGAGATACATGACAACTCAGGAAAAACTGATCAAAGAGACACAGCAAAATACAGAAAAACAACAAAACAGAGACTGAAGCATTAAAATAAAAAAAAAGATTCAGAATGTACAAAGATTAAGAATGAGATCAGAAAATTTAGCAAAAGCTTTGGAAGCAGAATAGAGCAAATAGAAGATGAGTTCAAAGACAGTAAAGCACAAAGCATGCAGGTGGGAGAAGTGAGAGAAATAGTAAGTAAACAATGAATAGCTTTGAGAACTATATAATCTAGCATGAAAGGCAACATAATGATAATGAATATCCCAGAAGGAAAAGAGAGAAGAGAGGGAACAGATAGCTAATTCAATAATAATCAAGGGAAATTTTCCAAATGTGGGAAAGCACCAAATATACAAGCACCTAAAACAAAAACAAAAACACAAAAAAAAAACCCTGCTTATCTCAATGCAATGAGACTGACATCAAGACACATACAGTGAAACAACCAAGCATTGAAAGATATAGAAAGGATATTGAAGGAAACTAGCAGGTTGGGGGTGGGTTACCAGGTAACTTGTAAAGATACTCCCACCAGATTTTCAGCAGAAACACTTCAGGCAAGGAGATAATGGAATGACAAATACGAAATACTTAAAAGATGAAAACTTCCATCCAAGAAAAACTCGCTTTATTTCTGACAGATGAGAGAACTAAAAGGTCTTCCCAAACAAGTACAATCTGAAAGAGTTGGCCAACACTCAGTTCCTCTACACAAAATGTTGAAAGAAACTCTTCTACCTGAATCAAAAAGAAAACAAGTATAGAAAAAAAAATGGAACAAGGGAATAGAACCAGAAAACGGAATACAAAATGTCAGTAGCAATATATTCATCAGTAATCACTCTTGATGCAAATGGGACTGAGCTCACCAATCAAATGGTAGTTGCCAGCTGATCAAAAACAAAACCCAAAATAGGATAGTTTTAATCTTTCATGATTGAAACTCAACATTCATTGAGGAGAAATCCCCATTTTTTCCTTCCCTAGCCTTGGAAACTATCAGAACTGCCATTTTTTTAAGGGTCTCATGAACCTGACCTTAAGATACAATGTGTGTACACTCTGGTACTGCATGCTACTCCCTGCTCTAGTTTGCTCTTCATATATCATAGATCATAGTGCACTAATTAGATGAGCACAATCTCCTACACTAAATACCAAACTCGTGAAACATAGTAAGTCTTACTCTTCTTTATAACTTCCTCAAGCCTAGTTTGTTGCCTTACATAAATATGCAATAAATTAAGTTTAAAAATGTTCAATGGTTAATATTCATTAATATTCATTTTTGGGATCTGGTAATAAAACAGGAAGCTAAATGCTGTTTACTTAAAAATCTATTTATTGTTTACTAAAGAAAACCATTCACTGTCACCTCCCAATAATATGAACAGCATGTGTAGGTATTTAAAGTATCTTCCAA